TTTTCTCCATATAATGGACTTCAATGGGAACCAAACGGTTAAAGGTCCAAAAGAGTTTCAGTGCAAAGTACAAACTGTTCAAAGGGCTTTAAACGACACCAGACGATGAATAAGGGTCTCATCAAGCGAAACGATCGCTCATTTAATAAATAAATAACTAAGTTTAAGTTTTATAAGCTCAAATGGTCGCCTTGCTCTGTTCTGTGATGCGTGTTCGTGACTCTCCTGTTCAAACTCGTTCATCAAATCAAAACAAATCTTTTTCTGAGTCAATTAGTTAATTTCGTTCGTTGAATGAACCAAATGACTCGAAAAAAGATTCGTTCATTTTGCTAAATGAGTTCGAGAAGGAGAGTCACGAACGCAGAGCAAGACGAGCATTTGAGGTCATAAATCTTAAACTTTGTTATTTGTGTTTTTTTTATTAAACGAGCGATCGTTTTGCTAGAAAAGACCCTTATTCATCGTCTGGAATTGTTTAAAGCCCTTTGAACAGTTTGCACTGCAACTCTCATTTGGTCCTTGAACCGTTTGGTTCCCATTGAGTCCATTATAAGGAGAAAAATCCTGGAATGTTTTTATCAAAAACCTTAATTTCTTTTCGACTGAAGAAAGAAAGACGTGGACATCTTGGATGACATGGGGGTGAGTAAATTATCAGCAAAAGTTTTATTTTTTTTAAAGTGAACTACTCCTTTAAAGGGTTAATGCAAGTTTTTCTTCTTTTGTTGCAAAAGACACAGGAAATCTGCCTTTGGTCTCACACCAGAGTGTTTCGATTTGACAAACCAACATCGACCTCTCCCGATAAACCGGTCTTACCTTGTTAGACTGATATGCTGACACTTGGTCTTGACTCATCTTCACCGGCACTCCCTGGCCGGCTCTCCCCCCTGGCATATTCCCCGCTCCTCCCTTATAGGCAGCGGGATCTCCATGAGGCTCTTGTGCAGGAGGAGGTGGCGGTGGGTACCAGCCCTGTCCCTGATTTTCATAATGTGGCCGATCTTGCTGAGGGGGGCGAGAGGCATGCTGACGGGGCGGAGGCGGGGTGTACGCTTGCTCTGCCTGTCGTCCGCTCTGAGAATAGGTGACGGGCTGAGCCGTTTTCACCTGTACAGTAAAGCGTGGACCGGTCGGGGTGGAGGCAGTGGTGTAGGAGGCAGGCACTGGTTGTGGGTAAGGTTTATGGACTGAAGAGGCGACAGAGGGGTAAATATAGTCCGGCTGAGGCGTAGAGGTGTATGGTGGGGCGGGGTGGTACTGGTTTTGGAGTTGAGCGGGGTAGCCCATTGAGGGCCTGCTTGTTGGTGGAGCCCCCATCTGGTTGGGAGGGTTATAGCGGTCAATAGGACCGTGCTTGCTGTAAGGCACATTGTCATACAACTGTCGAAAAAAAACATCATATGAATCAATATTTTCAGAGATCTGTGCGACAATACCACAATACCCAAAAGGCTGGGATACACCATCCAATTTTTGACGATGCTAGAGTTGCCAAAAGTTATTTGCATGCGTCTTCTAGCAACGAAGCGCCATGTTTCTATGTGAGTTTATTGTGTTTGGAAGTCTGGTGGTGTGTGATTCTCAGTCATTAGTGTATGACGCCCAGTATTTCTCTAACCATTTACAAAATGTGCAAGTGTATGATGCCTAGTCTTTTAAAATCTGGTTTAAAATCTTTCAAGATTTTGAAAGTAATTTAGTTCAGTGTTTCTCAACCGGTTGGTCGAAAGAGCATTTTAGCGAGTCGTGGAGTGTGTAGTCAAAGAAACGACAAACCAAAAAAAAAACAAAAAACGTCATTCTAAATGTTTTTCTGATGCGAGACTTTTATTTTGAAAGACATGAGTGAAAGCTGTAGACTCTTCTGGTAAGGCACATTTTAAGTAGAGCGCCTGAGAAAAACATGTTGTCAAATTGTCCTGATTAAGTGTGTGCGGTCAGAGGAGATGTTGTCAGGCTTTTTGTCAGTGTCATTATTCTAACATTATTTTCAGAATTTCTTATAATATAAAAAAGTCTCTCACCTCAGAAAAATGTACTTTGCTGTCCTGTCATTTAAACTGTGCACACGGCACACACTCTTCAATTGCACGCACAATCTACGTTGTCAATTACTAAGTCTTGATTACCAAAATTACGTAACTGGTACGTCGTGTGTTAGCTGGGAAGGATTTGCATGCAGGGAAGATGTTCATTCAGTTCTTCAGGATCAGCGTCCATGTTTTATTAACAGTTCATATTAGTATTGTGTATTTGCCATGGCAACTAAAGTTTCCTTAACCCAAAATACCATTTTATTTTCACAGCTTAATGACCATGGGAAAAATGTGGGTGAGGTGCACTAGTGATGTAGTGTATTCCAGCCTTAAGAAACACATTTACCTACTAATATGTCTGAAAGCATTCTTTAAACCATTGTTAAATGTTTTTTTCCCCGTGGCACTTGGTTTAAAGCATCATTTTGAAAGGTTAATGCTTTTAAAGTGTTTACCGGTGCGCTTGAGCTCTGAGGGTGATTGTCCAGGTCAGCCAGCATGCATGTAAGAGAGTCTATCTCAGCGTCAATATTGGAGATGTGCTTCTCTGATCCCCGAGCCTGAACAAATAACAGCCACATATAAAACTCACATTATTATTCCTCCTTTTTATGCTAAGAGCGCTAATTGGCTCTTACATCTTGGATGCATGTAGTCCTATTGTAGGAGACATTTAAAACTAAACGGGCTCTATGCACGGCGGTATTTCCGGTGAAGGTGTAAGGATGCTCGATAACTTCCGCCGATCATAGAGTCCAATGCAATACCGAGAATTTATATTGAATTTTATACTCCATGGTTCTAATAAAGAAACGTTAGTCACAAAAACAGATAAAACAGACACCCTCGTTGTGTTTATGCTTCTTTTTAAAATTATATTAAATAAACATAACTATATATAAAATTACATCTAAACGTATGTACGTTTCGTTTCAAAGACGGGAGGACAGTAAATTTTGAAGACTCTGCCATAATCCCGTTTTCCTCGGTTTAACTCCGCTTTAATCTCCACAACCGGAAATGGACGAGCATCCTTGCGTCAAATGCGGAACTTATGCGTGCATATAGCCCATTAGGAACCTTTTAAATTAACATAATAGGGGCACTTTAAAAAAGGATATTTCTCCAGTATTTTTTTAGGAAATTTAAGGAATGATCGACAAATTCAAATTGTACCAAATCATATTTACAGAACACAAGTCCTAAACGATAATTATAAAAGAGCATGTGGGCATCACTGACGTGAAGTTCATGGCTGGCCATGTGGGGGTTCCAGTTGTGGTGGTCTTCTTTGGGCCCCTGGCCTGGAGCATAGTATCGCTCTCCTATTTGGGGAGGCAATGGATGATAGACAGTAGACCCTGAGCGATCATCTTGATGCTGGTGTTGCATGGATCCCCCTGAGCACACAAATAGTATTCAATCAATTATTTCTTTAAGAATAAATTCAAGATAAGAGATGTTACTTAAAGTATAATTCCAGTATTTAACACCTTGAGTCTATTTTGTAGTTTGTTTTGAATGAAATAGAGTGGTGGACTTAGAAATTTTGACAATGGGTCCAGTCTCGATTTTTTGACTATTTTAGAATCGCCTGTGACAGCTTTAGACTGGCTGTCTATGGGCATGCACAAAGATGTCCATAAAACAACCCTTAACGTTCATTTTCAAAACTGTGCAGCTCACCGAGAGGTTGGTGGTGTTCCTTGATGTTCCGAAACAAGTAGCGTAGCGAAATACCGTTTCTGTCGTGTTTTATTTGTCATTTTTTTAAATCGCATTGATGTCTGCTGGAGGACTCAGTGCTCGTTGATATTACTGCGCTAGGCTAGCTATAGGAAAAGGAAAGGGGTCTGTTTACATTTGGTTGTAGTCTTTTCGCTCGGTTCTCCGTCTTACCATATTCGACTGTGTCTGTGACTTTTTTTACGGTGCGCTAGACACCGTGTTCCGTACAGCGTCCTGGTTGTCGCCATCAAGTGGTCTAACGCTTCAGACTCAAATATTGTGTGGAAGTTTATACGCGGTTGTGAGGTATCTGAATAAATAGTTCCACAATAGCAAACAACACGGATTGAAAGCATACACTGCGCCGATATATTTGTTTTTAATCATCAACGAACACCACCAACCACTCTGTGAGCTGCACAGTTTTGAAAATGAACGTTATGGGTTGTTTTAAGGACATGTTTGTGCATGCCCATAGACAGCCAGTCTAAGGCCGGATTCACATATAGCGCCTAAAAACGCGTAGAAAACGCTGGGCGCGCCGCATTCTCCATTTTCCAAAGCGCCAGGGCGGTTGCGCTTCAGTTGGTTCTTGTCACATGACCTATTGTGTGCGTATGGTGCGCTTGCGGTATTCTGAAAAGTTGAGATGTTTTTATCTCGACGCGGCGCGGACGCGCATGGAAAAAACGAGCGCGTCGCACCGCGACCGCATCGCTTCCATTATGAGCACGCATACCACACGCCTACATTTGAAATAACGAACTTGAGCGCGCAAAAGACGCGATATGTGAACCGGCCCTAAAGCTGTCACAGGCGATTCTAAAATAGTCAAAAAATCGAGACAGGACCCATTGTCGAAATTTCTAAGTCCACCACTCTATTTCATTCAAAACAAACTACAAAATAGACTCAAGGTGTTAAATACTGGAATTATCCTTTAATATCAAATAACCACATCGACGGCCGGACATGTCCAGGAAAAAGAGGATGGTAACCCCTACTACTCAGATTTCTTCACAGAACAAGAGCCTGCTAGCTTAGCTTCCAAAAAAAGATGGCTGTGAGTGAGATCCCATCCACTATGGACGAGTTGAGAACACGCGGGACAGCGACTACTACTGACTGTTTCAATTTCTGTAAACATGAATACTGTTAGACTTACCTGAAGAGCAGTGTATATTTCATTTGCATTGTATTTATCTATGCTTGGAATTTGTTTATAATTTTCTGTGTAGATGCACTCCCCTAAAATCTCCCCAATCATTCTAGAAAGATTAATTCATTTCATCTGGTGAAAATATTTTAATATTGCAGTATCCAGTACAGTAGTCAACATTTGAAATGGATCAAAAAAGTTCAACAAAGTTGAAGATTGCTCAAAATTCATGTAGAACTTTGATGAAAGGTCGCGAGATCCACTTCAAATGTTGACTACTGTATATATATCGCAGAAAAAACAAAGTCAGTTTTTTACAATATTGAAGCATGAAGCATAAACCTGCACTGGAAAGTTTAAGGGTTCTTACCTGAAGGTCCAGTCGCCATATATCTTACAGGCATCCCATTTCCTCCTGTTCCGCCATTCTGCTCATACATGTTATATTTGGGCCTCTGTTCGGGGAGACCTTTCTTAGGAGGTCTGTAGAGAGCGGGGCCAGAGTGTGACATTGGTGCTGTGGCTCTATCTGAACTACCCAGGGTTCTTGGAGGCAGCCAGTTGGGGCCAGACATGCCAGTCTTCTGCAAGGACAGCACAGAATAAACACTGTTAGTGTGTAACCTTTCTCTGTTTTAAGTGACTTGTTTGTGCATGACTAAATAACTAGATTTTCTACTACACACCTCAAACCTAAAACTCAAAGAGATCCGGCCCTATCAATGCTGTCCAAACTTGTAAAAAAAAAAAAAAAGATAACCAACTACACAAAACAGGTTTATGCTGAGTTTCCAGTGGCAACGCATGGTTTCCACGATAACAATAGGCACCAAATAAAAAAAAAGCAGGAAAAGGCAACCATTCTCAGCCGAAAGGGGAATTCCAGGTTTCCTTAGTCGAAATGCATTTCTCTTTCTCACACACACACACACACAAACATACATACAATTCCCACAGGTGCGCAGTACTTGCAATGTATTCGCTCCTCTCTCAAGTCTCCCATTGGCACAATGGCCATTGTCCACAACACTTAATCCACAATCCTTTATACAGAGTCAGTCCATGAAAATAAGGTAGGAAATGTTATGTAATGATCAACTTTTCATTCGAGCCATCTGGTGTCCGCCGGACAATGTCCTATGTATGCAAGGGCTGAGGATTGTTTGTTATTATAAGCTTACGAAAACAAAGCAAATAAACCTCACAACAATACAAGATGCTAACAAGTGTAAACACAGTCAGAACAGATATATGGGAAGTATTACAATACAAACAGCGTCTTTGTTTACAATCGGTGCAGGAAAACTCAGCTTATAGGCACAGTGTGTAAGTTTCGCCACTAGAGGTCGCTTATTCAAAACAACAAAGTCGTAGCTTGATGGCGCAGTGAATGAGTGTGGAACATAGACTGTAAAAAAAGATGGACGACGCCCCTTCGCTCTTTTCCATCAGAGAGAACTGAAGCCGCCAGTGTCTCAATATGACACTTGAGTCTGCGCACTTGCGTGTTTCGGGACCAGTCATGCGCAGTCGTGAGCAGGAAGTAAAGCCGCGAAATCAAGGCCGCGCCCTCATTTGCGCTGAATCAAACGCAAGCACACGCCCCGCACTTTCATTATAAGTGTCCTCTGTCTGCTTCGTTCTTCTCCAATGATGTCCGCTGATTGCAGAACCTCGTTAAAATAAGGTAAATGCAACTACTAACCACATAATCAACATTATTAAAAAAGTCCGCTGGTGCTTCAGTGACTACCTCGCACAGAGAACCTGTCAATCACAGCTGTCAATCATGATGTCAGAGCACCGTTTTTATCATCACATAACTAACTAAAAACAAACTTATTTTAAAAATGAACACTTGAAATTACATCAACGTGATAGAAACTACAGTAAATGACAGAAACTATCTTTGGAAAAAGGATATGTGAAGTGTAATTTAATTGTTTAGTTGGTCTCACGTCCCATTGAATAACATGGGGAGGCGGGGGTTATGAGCTATACTAGGTCCGGTCACAGGGGGGCGATCGAGACGTTTTGGCTTCACTTTTGAGGGCTTGTGCGGCACGCTTGGTGTGGAATCATGGGAGTTGTCGTCTTCGCCTCCACAACTAATGGAAAGCAATCCGACAGGCAAAAATCGTGTTCATGGATGAGTTAATCTATTTAAGTCTTATTAACGTTACTGTGGCATGAGTTTTTACGTTGCTGTTTTCATTATACGCTCCAGTCGGATGCTGCCGCTCCTTTCGTTTTGTTCATGCATATTTTACGAATAAAGTCAAGTTCAACGTTCGCCTCTTTCTTCCTTGGACTTTGTTAGTTACGTTTGATTATTCTGGGATAACGCAACACTGTTTTAGCGTGCTGTGTTGAAAGTAATGTTAACGTTACACTGTGCGTTCGCTCGGTGGCTGCAATGAGACACTTGTTGCACATTGCAGCAAGCTAGATCGATATTAGAATATCATATTAATAAAATCTGGATGACTTGTGTTGCTAAATGGCATGCAATTCAGTTTTAAACACTGTGTGGTGGAGAAAATGCTGTATTACTGACAGTGTTGGGAGTAACGCATTACAAAAGTAATACATTACAGTAACATATTACTTTTTGCTGTAACGCAGTAGTGTAAGGCATTACTAATCAATTTTCAGTAATATTTTACTCGTTACATGTTCAGTGAGGCTTGTATTACAGTTGTATTACAGTGTATTGTCTGCTTTTACTTCTTAAAGGCAACAGTTTTAAAGCAGTTTGTAACATTGTTTTTTTCCTCATAAATGCGAACACGAAAACTAAAATAAAATGAATATTTTAAGTTCTATGGAGACTGGAGAGCCAACCCTTTCTTATCCGATTTGCGCAGTGTAATTAACAGAATTACAAAAAATATATTTTGCCTCCTATTTTTTTGTCACGCATGAATGTGTGTCTTTTCCCTAATATTAAAAATAAAACATAGACTGATATTTGTCTAATGTCTGGAGTCCTTTAAGGAAGTAGCCTATATACGTTTCAATACATGAATTTTCTGAGAATTTTTATTTCAAGTTTTGACTGCAAATGTCATGTCCATAATGCTGGACTTCCCCAATTTTAAATAATTTATCCTCAACTAGTTTTGTGGTGTAGGTCTACGTATTTTATAATGTTAACTTCAAATAATACTAATAGCCTAATTTAAAGATAAGGCAGCATTGGATATGGACGGTAAGGAGAATAACGCTGGAGTTGGAAGAGGTGTGTCGCGATTCTGTAGGTTCGTGGATGTGGCGAATCGCGATTTTGGTTTCATATTGCATATCGTTACAGCCCAAAAGTTAAGTTCTACTTAGTTATTTTGGTGAAAGTAACTCAAAAGTAATACATGAGTAATGTAACGCATTACAATTCTGGGACAGTAATATTGTAAGGTAATGAATTACTTTTAAATAACAGTAACAAGTAATACCTAATGTATTAGAGTTTGGAAGTAACTTGCACAACACTGATTACTGATACTATAAATAAAGCTCTTTCTGATTATGCAACTTGACAAAATAGTGTCATCTGATCTAGTTTTTGGGTACAAACTCACGGTTGATCTAAAAAACAAGAGATTAAGGGATCCAAACAGTTCCTCACCCGTCTAATAAAACATAACATATTAAAGTGTCTTCTGTGTTTACAAGGTTTCTAAGGAAATTTATGGTAAGACAAATGAGTTGTCATCAACACGTGACATTGACATGGGCCATTACACTGGATAAAATAGCTTATTTCTCTGCATTTAAACATTATTGGAAACATTTAAGATAATATAATACGTACACAAGTCAACAATATATGTTCTAATCGTTTTTGGCTATTTTAATCCAAAAATCGTACATATTGTACCTTTAAGATAGCAGTTGGTTTCAAACTGGTCATTAGCTGTTTGACCAGTTAAGATGCCCCCCAAAATAGTCAAACCATCTTGACTATATAAATAACTAGCTGCTAATTTGTTGTTGCTGGTCAACCAGACCAGTTTGGACCAGATAATGACCACTGCAACCATGTTACAAAACAAATACCACCTTAAAATGTATTTTTCAGCTGTGAGTAATCACTGCACTGATCTACATACTAATAAATGCCTATATTTGTATCCAGAGAAATGTTCAACCTGACCACATTGGATTGCATCGCAAACCGTGAAAGCTCATACTCAAAGCCGGGGATTGTAAGGCCGATGAATCACAATGTTTTTTTTTTTTTTTTTTAATCTTTGAAAGCATATTAATCTACGATGTAACGCGTTACTACTTCTCTCTCCTGCAGTGGACTGTGAACATTGCAAAGTTACATCGAGTGATAAAAGTGCGACACTGCCGCACACAAACGTCATCGTGGATGTTTGCGATAACAATAACTCATCTATGGTAACTTGCGTCCTGTGTTTATTGGGTTATTTAAACAATAGGACATTAACGATTTCCCGTACCTCTTGAAAACGCTGCAGACTCCCAGTCTACCGAGCATCTGCCTTGTCTTGCTTCGTTTTCATCTGCAAAATGAAATGAGCCGGCGAGCTTCGTCCGTGTGTCTGTCTGGTAGCCTGTGTTTCAGTTAAAAAGTTCAGTTCATAGATTCCCAGCCTTGTTTTCTTCCCACCAACTATATCAATGGAATTGTTAACATTGAAAACTATCCCCAAAACATTAAAACGACAAACGAGCCCTCAAGATCGCTCATTTAGTCGACGAGGAGCATCCAGTTTAAACTGTTTATTTGTTTGTTAAATAAAGCGAACACTGCAAGGCTGATTTATACGTTTTTTTGTTTGTTTTTTTACTTCTAAATGAAATTCAGCCTCGCAAGATGTGAGTTAAAACTATCAGTAAGCCGTGTTCGCTTTAGGTTAGTATCTGAACCAATACACTTTTAGTTCTCAGTCGGTTTCATTTTAGTAACCTACTTTTCCTGGAGGATCAGCCGCGGCTGACAGGCCTGTGTGCAGCGGTCCGCGCGCATGACGTCACGTGGCAAGCTCTTTCAACATTTAAAGGTAGAGTAAAACCATATGTAAAGTAAACCACATGTAAGTAAAACATGTACGTAAATGTACATTTTCAGGTCAGAAGTCACTTTTTTATGTTTTGCTTACTTAAGCACAATATTACTTTGGGACTATATCTGACTCGTGTAACAAGAAGGCATTAAAAACAATCGAAATATGTCTTTTAATTTTTTATTATTTAATCTTTTCTGATTAGTTAAATACCCCTGTCGTGTCTTTTTTATTATTATCATTTTCCTCTTGTTTATTTGTTCTACATTCTGACGGTTTCCTTCTTTGTTTCTATAATGTTCTCAATATAAAAAAAAAGGTAGATAGGTTTTTTATATATATATATAAACACTTTTTGTTATACTGGTTGAAACCTTCTTCACATCCTTATAGAAATCAATAATATAAGTGGTCTACTCTAAACATTTTAAAAATACATCTTCTGTGGAAGTGAAGCGCTACTATGCGTTCACACCAGACACGAATACGCGCGAACACTTTGAATCCATTTGCGCGTCAAGAGCGAAATTCCCGAAATGTATTCAATTTCGTGCATCAATTGAATCGCGCAAACTTTACGAGCGAATTAGGCGTATTCGCGTCTACCGCGCGAATATGCCTCATTCGGGCCGCAGGAATTTTTTACGAGCGTAGCGCGTCTTTCCATTGACTAAACATTGAAATCACTCACACCTGACGCGCTATTTATTTATTTATTTATTTATTTTTTGCGATGCAGAGATGAAGACAGACGACCGAAGACTGCCACGAACGAACAACATCCGCCTTTTACAGTTCCTCCTGAACCAAAACAACAAGTTTATGCTGCGTTCACTTCACCCATTGACGTAATTATAAGGTGGCAACCCGTGACGTTCTAGCCGGAGCTGTTCACGTCCTCAGACTCAGATGCATGCCTTTGTATGTCAACACAATCATTGTCGAAATGAATCCGCAGCAGTCAGTTAGTACAAGTCAGAGCTCTGGATGTAGTTTACGTTCATTTTTATTATAATTTTGTGTGCTTTGAGACATTAGGTAATTTAACGTCTCTTGTGTGACGCTTTACAGACTCTTCTGTGCGTTCATGTTTTTTGAAGGCTTTAGAGACTCCTATAAGGGAGGGTGGGATGTTATTCTATCAAAGTTAGCTTGCAATTGCTAGCCTCTCTGAAATTGCCTAAACTATTTAAATAAATTGAAATGGCTATTTAGCCTATTTAAATTAGCTGCCATGGTGACTGGTCATTAAATAGCCTATTAGGCTACATAAGATTTGTATCACATATGGGATAGATACTAGTATCTCATAAATAAGTAGCTAGTACCTAATAAAATGTTTCTACTAGAACTGGAGTAGGTATCAACAACAATTAATAGCGCTCAATACTCGTAAGTGAATAGTTGATATCTGGGGCCTGCAATTCCAAAATGGCGCCAATGTGGGGTGGAAAGTTATGTGCGTGATCTACTGACGACAGTCAAATTAAAAAACACAGAAGCAGCCAGATCATTTCCATAATGACCAACGCAATCTACAGAAAATAACTATTTATTTTAAAGGAATAAATATTAAATTGGCTTGCCATAAATTGCAGGGAGTTGTGGAGCATATTTTGGGATGCACGCTGTGTGTCCCATATTGGAATGACATATGGTGCCAGATGAGGGATTTATTTATCGCCCCGGGGAAACGTAATCCTGGGCATATCACTTGTTCTCAAAACGAAAAGGAATGTTTAGCTGTCTCCAGTTCATTTTTATTGATTAATCTATTGTTAACCATGTGTTTGATTAAATCAGCCAATGCTAAAGCAACTGAATAATGATCAAACCGTATGAATATCACATCTCAAAAAAAAAATGGTACATGTTAAAATCTAATGTATCAGACTTTGTGATTTATTGCCAGTCTTGATCTCTCCAATAATGACTTCACTTTAATATCCTATTAATATCCTGCTAAAAACTCTCACCTCCAGGCCGGCACGTGAAACACCCTCAGTCGGAAACTCTACGTGACCATCGGACCAAGCTCTCGAGAGGAAATGGCCGACCTGAACCATCATTCTCTCCCCTTTTTCCTTCAGAGGTCACTTCCAAGGCGAGATCAGGAACGCTTCAGACACCCTCAGACTGTTCACCATCTCTCTAGCTCACTTTCATTGCTGCTCTTTCATCACAAGATTTCTTGTAGATGTAGAAAAAGTTTCTAGTCTTCGAAAAAGGAAGAAAAAAAAACATGAATCTATCCACAAGATATGATCTGTGTACTTTGCATTACAAGAAAATGTGTTTATATTGAGACTTCCATTATGTTGTGACCCCTTTACAAGCAACATTAATACATTTTATAGTGAAAATGCATATTATAAAAGTTTGCTCTTGGCATAATTTTCATCAAAAATACTTTGCAATGAGGTATATGTGCTTGCTGGCAGAGATATGAATAGAGTATTGTTTTTAGGAATTTATCTAAGATCTTTAATTTTGCAATCGGTCCTATGAATAGCTGTGTGCTGGTTATGAAAGAGTAACTCATGACCTGAAATGTCTTCCACATTTTTAGCTACAGACAATTCAGCAAACATCTTGATTACTTGGCTGCTCATCTAATGATCCTGGCACAGTATTTTAAGAGAAACATTGTTCTCTATATACAGAGCACATACAGTCTTGTTTTCGTTGAGCTTTTCTGGGGTTTGGAATGTTAATAATTTCTGGCTAATTCATGGGTTATTTTTATTTATTTATTATTACATATATTTTGTCTTTGAGATTTGTCGATTATGACTCAGTAGTTCCGATCTGAAGGATCTTAACTACTGACACACGCATGCACACACACATACACACACACATGTGTTTGTAATCACAACATTATTTCTTTTGTCAAATAAACTTAATTTATGTAGTTCAGATAACATCATATTTTAAGTTTCTGATGATTAAATCAATCACCTTCATTGTATTAACTCAATTTTTCCATTTCAATCAACTTAATTTTTTAAGGCAGCTAGGTTACTTCATTTCTTAAGTTAAACCAACAATATTTTTTTACAGTGCATACTGGTTGAATTTTTAAAGAAATTAATACTTTTATTTGGCAAGGATGCATTGAAATTATCAAAAGTGAGTGTTACTGAATATAAATCTTTTGAAACATTATTACTGCCTTTACTCTTTATTTCAATGGTCCACTTTAGACATTCTTCTAAGTAACTGCTACATGTCAACTAACACTCATTAAGGTATTATAGAGTAGTAGACTGTCTGCTTAATATCTGATAACACTTTATTTGAATGCTCCGCCAACAGACATTATACTTATAACTTTGCAACTGTCAACTTATTCTACTAACCCGAATATTAAATTACTGTAATCTGGTTAAAACTCTTATGAGAGTTGACATGTTGCAAATTTACTTGTCTGAAGTGGACCATCTAAATAAAGTGTAACCTTCTTTTTCAAATACATGCTGTTCTTTTAAACTCTATTCATCAAAGAATCTTGGGGAAAAAATCAGTGTTGCTTATAATAATAAATATTTATTAATTAGCATGAGGCATATTAAAATGATTTCTGAAGGATCACGTGACACTGAAGACTGGAGTAATGATGCTTAAAATTCATCTTTCATTACAGGAATAAATTCCATTTTAAAATATTTTAAATAAGTTGTTCCACAAAATTACTGTATTTATTGTATATCTAATCAAATAAATGCAGCCTTGGTACACTGTAAAAAGATATTGTTGGTTTAACTTAAAAAAGTATGTGCATACAGTATATGAGACTTCTTTTAAAAACATTAAAAATCTTACTGATCCCAAACTATTGAATGGTAGTGTGCATGCATAGTATGAATATCCTTTTTCATTTCACTCATTCTCAACCTGTGACCCTTTTCAGTACATCCTAATTTTCTTCATTGTCCATTTTTGTCTGTCTCCCCACCTCCTTCCACCTTCCTCAAGAGGACAAACATCCCCCTTCATCCACACACCACACCGGATGAGCTCGCGGCGTGTCCTTATATGTGCAAATCTCTCAGTTTCAGCAGGAAGAGGCAGTTTATTAAAAAATAGTCATTGTTTCTGCAGCTTAAATAATCAATATATTATGTTGTATTTTGAGATTTTAAAAGTCAGTGGGGTCCAACAAACACTGCACCCTATTTTGGACCTAAAATATCTTTATTTGTGTTCCACATAATAAAGATGTAAAAAAAAATATTTTCATGATTTGTAATCACAACATTTTTTCTTTTGTCAAGTCAGCTTAGATCATTTATGTAGTTCAGATAACATAATATTTTGAGTTTCTGATGATTAAATAAATCTCCTTCATTGCATTAACTAAATTTTTCCATTTCAATGAACTTAAAATTTTAAGGCAACCAGGTTACTTATTTTTTAAGTTAAACCAACAATATTTTTTTTCACAGTGCATTAAACATTCTTTTAAAAAAAGTAATCTTCAGTGTATCGGTAACACTTTACGATAAGCTCTAATTTGTTCAAATTAGTAAAAGAATGTTTGTGCATTAACTAAGGTTAACAGCAACTTCTGATCATAGTAAATGTTGTCATTAAGATAAAAATGCTGATGCAGCCTTTAGTATCCATAAGTTATGTCAACATATGTTTTTGAATTGTTTTAACTCATCGAAATGAGTTAAGGAACAACTTTTTCAAATAAATAAATAAATAAAAAAGTTTAAGTTTTCTAAGCTCAAATGCTCACCTTGCTCTCATTCAACGAATGAAATGACTCAAAAAAAGATTTGTTCATTTTGATGAACGAGTTTGAACAGGAGAGTCACGAACGCGCATCACAGAAGAGAGCAAGGCGAGCATTTGAGCTTATAAAACTTAAAATTTTTTAATTATTTTTTAAATGACCGATCATTTCGCTTGATAAGACCCTTATTCATCGTCTGGTGTCGTTTAAAGCCCTTTGAAGCTGCACTGAA